ACAGAGCTGTTTTTCAGATGATGTGAAATCTCTCTGATATCTATATCCTTATTTCAGACATTCTTCAGACAATGTTGTGAAATAGTAAAATGTGATTTTTTAAAACAAGCTACATTTCAGGCTAGAAAATCCACCTTAAGCAGAGGAGAACTTTGACTTTGCTCATCTGTATAAGTTGCACTCATGGTTTAAGTGTATCTGATAGAACAAAAATATCAAAATCAATAATCAGTTTAGCTTGAAAGATGGTGCAACTGGTCATTGGTGCTGTCTGGAATATGAAGATTATGTTCATTGTTAGGCATTTACTGTGATCCATCAGTATTTATCATATGTAGCTAGGATGTCAGTAATTATTGTCCATGTTTACACTGTGCTTAGCTAACCACATGACTATCCTGTTTATGTTAACACTGCACTATTCAATGTTTATAATGTGATTATTAGGGCTACTCTAGGCTGTTGTATAGCACATAGTGCATGCTTTTGTAAAAAATAACTATAAACTTGCACTGTATCGTAGCACAGTGTGATGTATAATGTTATGTGTAAATCCTCTGATACTGACACAAGTATCAGTAAGTACAGATGGAATGGACCATAAACACGGATTATGTGACATTTGCTTTATTGATTATCACTTCATTTGGATGACATTCTGAAACTGACCTAAAGCATACTTGCTACTTGCTAAGAGACGTGCATAGGGTTGTCAACTTGAAAAAAATATATTAGATTTTATTGCATTTGACAGACCAGTGGCTGGAGCAGATTTCCAGCACTGCTCAAGCCGCGTTGTTTTGCTGCAAAAGATACTGGATATTGCAAATCAAAATTCTAAACTACCATTTGATTCCAGACACATCAGCAGATGATCAAGACCCAGATAGCAGTCATTACTTGCATCCCAGTTTGCAACCGGCAACCTCACAAGCGGTAGGTCTAACACGAATTATACTCGTTAAACTAAACCTGGATTCTTCTATTGTAGTCAGCGCGAAAGACTCACATTTTCCCTATATTGATAGGCTGTGCATCAGGATGGGTTTGAATAATAAAATTGTCTATGAAATGTTTGTTTTTTACTTGCCATGAACTACTAATGATCCATCTTTTCTGTTTACAGGTGTTTCTATGGAGGGTCTTTATAGTGTATTTTTCAGGAACTATTGCTGAGACTGGCTGACTGTCAGAAGCTTGCTGGAACAACTTCATCTGTGTTCTACATCTTTGTCAATTATGTGATTGAAATACTCAATTGCATCACTTTGGTTATATACAGGGTGTTCCTTAATGATATGCGAATATTTAAGGGTGTGAATCTACATGAAAAATTAATGTTAGTTTGCTTTATAGACTATGGTCCAAAAATGTTTCCTTATTCACTCAGGGTGTTGGAGTTTTAGGGAAAAAATGGAAATTAATTAATATTTTCAGAACTGCTCCAGATATTTCACTGATATTTAGTACGTGGTGAAAGTTAATAAAGTGGCATATTTTTCAACCCAAAAATAATTTTTAGATTTAACAGTGGCGTGCGTATGGGTATTGACTTCGATATTTTTTAAGAGAAAAATTGTACGCCAATGGTTTTTTGCCAAATAAAAATTATTTTTGAATTCCCCGTTCAATTTAAAACAAATGATCTCTCTTGAATTGTTTTCTTTCGATGCACCATTTTTTGTAAAAATATAAAAGCCGTTCTATTGTCTAACTTGCAAAATTATTATTAATTTAATTGGAAAAATTAAACACATTAGGGGTAATGAACAAAAACAACTGACGACATAAACATAAAATTAAAACCAACGAAATGATTACAAAAATTGTTGAAAATCTTCCCCTTCACTTAGTATGCATGCTTCCGCCCTCCTTCTCATGGAATTGCGCACTCGTTGAAATATTCCTGGAGTGCTTTTTATTCTATCACAAGCTGCAACTATTAATAATAATAATAATAATAAATTGCTTTTATTGCTCATGTAAGTACAGAAAAAGAAAAAGTACATAAATTTAATGCAGTGAGCAAACGGCAAGGTTCGCTTGATTGACAACCATTAGTTGTCAATCCGCGCTCTTCCACCTAACCAAAAAAAAAAAAATAAATAAAGTAGTATATCAGTAATAATAATAACAGCAAGAGAAAATTTGAACGTTAACACAGATACATATAGACATATTATGTTTTAAAACTATATATTATATTATACATCCATAGATGACATATAACTGTTGCAGGCACCTTGGTAAAACCTATAATATAAAACGAGTTGATGCTTGAATGAGATTGCTAGAAGTTGTAGCTAATATCTTATGAAGGGAAAATGTCAAAGATCAAACGAAAAAGACTCCTTGACTTTGTCTGGTTTCTGGGCAACCAGGACTGACAGATTCGAATAACGTACATCAGACAGCGAGTAATGGGCAAAGGTCCTACGGACCGCCCAGACAAATAAATGACGAATAGTACGAAAAAGACATACAGAAGAATAATAGGCAAATCAGCGTGCAGTGTTAAATTTAAGTCATCTCAAGTCTCAACATAGTCTTCACTTCTCGCTTAAATCTCAAAATTGATAGGGCTTTAATTCTATCAGGCAGCGAGTTGTAAACCTTAACAATGTCATATGAAAAAGAGCACTTATAATTTGAAGTTTTAAATTTAGGTAGTGAGAGATGATGTTTAAACCTCGTGTTACGACTATGCACTTCTGTACGGGTCTTGATCTTCTTGTAAAGATAGGATGGTGATTCAGTATTGAGTATCTTGTGGTATAGTACGGATCGATGAAGGAACCTTCTTTTCTCTATATTGAGCCAACCTAAGTTCTTTAAATGAAGAGATATCGGCTGCCGCCTTCTAATACCACTAACAAACCTGACACAAGAATTTTGAATACGCTGAAGGCGCGCCTTATCTCGATGTAGCAATGACGGGCCGTACGCGCAGTCTGCATAGCTGAGGTGAGAAAGAACTAAAGACTCGCACAATATTATTTTTGTTGTCTTGGTTATTATGCTTCTGCTATTGTATAGCAGTTTCAATGATGAAAATGCCCTTTTGGTTATAAGAGAGACATGCTGGGAAAAGCGTAGATCTGTATCCATAATAACCCCTAAATTTTTAGCGGAGTTTGTAAAAGTTATTTTGTCTTGTCCGAAATAAATGTCTAAATTATTGGAGTATAGTTCACGATTCTTGTTTTTACCAAATAGTAGAGCCTTAGATTTAGTGGCGTTGACGGAGAGACAATATTTTTTTGTTAGCTGATAAAGAACCTGAAGGTCCTCATTTATGTTACTTAAAGTTCGGTTTATATCTGATTCATTAAAAGCAATATATAATTGAGTGTCATCGGCGTAATAGTGATATGAGACGTGTTTAAAACTTTTGTGCAGCTGAGAGGTATACAGAGTGTACAAGAGTGGACCTACAACAGATCCTTGAGGTACACCTCGACAAACTTTAGACAATTCGGATGTTTCACCAAAGCATTTGACAACTTGTGCCCGATCTTTGAGATAATTTCTTAATAAATGAACCGCACTTTTAGAAAAACCCAAGTAGTGAAGAACAGCAATCAGTAGATCATGGTTTAGCTTATCAAAAGCCTTCGAAAAATCTAATAAGATTAAGATGCATAGGTTGCCATCATCAATGTATTTGCGGATATCATCTGTTACTTTGAGCAAGGCTGTTGTGCAGCTTTCTCTTAATTCCTCTACACTGTTTATCCAACGATTTGGATAATAAACAGTTTGTAAATGATTACGAACCGCTACACTGAAATGCGCTGGTGCACCATCATGCATGTACCACATATTGTTTCTTATTACTAACGGAACATCAAGCAGCAAAGGCAACTGTTATTGAAGAAAATTGAGTTAAGTCTGTCCGTCAAGACGTCCTGGCAAGATGAATGGGCCAATAAAGTGGTTGCCAATAATTCCTGCCCATACGTTAACCAAAAATTGGTGTTGGAAATGGGTGTCGTTACGACATAGGGATTTTCTTCTGCCCACAAATGATTATTGTGGAAATTCTGAATGGCATTTCGAGAAAAATTAGCTTCGTTCGTGAACAGAATCATTGATTTAAATTGCGGATTTTGTGTAATTTTTTAAGATACCACTGACAAAAGGTCACACGCCTTGGAAAATCAATGGGAAGTAATGCCTGTACTCTTAAAATATGGTAAGAATATATCAAAAAATCACTAAAATTGTACAAACAATTTCATGGAAAATATTTAAGTGTCTAGCGATCTTCCTCGTACTCGTTTCAGGATGTTCTTCGACTTCGTGCAGCACTGCTTCCTCAATTTCAGGGGTTCTCACATTTAGAGGTCTACCTTCAGACGTTCGTTTTCGGACAGAACCAGTTTCAACAAGAGGACGATGAATATTAGAAAAGGTTCGACTATCTGGGAAAGCACGATCGTCATATCTCTGGTGATAAATCCGTCTGGCTGGCTCACCATTACTGTCGGCAAGGCCATATACGTAATGCATTTCCGCCATTTCTGCATTTGAATAATTCACCATCATTAACAAGATAGTAAAAACTAAATAATGAAAAAGATGTCACAGCGAACAGATTTGAATAACAGAGACTTGTCAGATGTTAAAAGCCAGTGACATATTCCAGAGCAACTAGATATTTATTGCTAAATTGCATTCTTCAATTGTTACATTAATTTTCAAGGACAATATTAATATTTAATTATTAAAAATATGCGACTTTATTAACTTTCACTACGTACTAAATATCAGTGAAATATCTGGAGCAGTTCTGGAAATATTAATTAATTTCCATTTTTTTACTAAAACTTCAACACCCCGAGTTCTTTTTAGGAACATTTTTGGACCATACTTTATAAAGCAAACATTAATTTTTCATGTAGATTCACACCCTTAAATATTCGCATATCATTAAGGAATATATATTCAGTTGATAATACACAAAATACTTTTTTGTCTATGAAATATGATCATAGATCCTCTTATTTACAGAATAACAGTACGTCTGATCATTTCCAATTCCATGTATATAAGACACTACTCAACAAAATAATTACTGATCCATTAGGGATAACTTTAAATTTGAGAAATATTGCAACCTAACAACACAAAATATATAAAAATGTTACACTACACTACAGTGCTCTGAAAAATTCTGCCTTTTTCTACTTTAGACAAAAATAACTGACTTCATTCAGATGTCAATGATACTAATGCCAAAGTTGACAATTCATGTACTTTCCAACACACATAAAGTCATAGTGTTTGATTAAACCTTTTTATTGTGAGTAATATTTATTTCATTGAAATGTTTATTGCTTATTTTCCATGATTGACTCCATATCAATACTGTTGCATGTGGTTAGCTGGAAGTAGAGTCATTTCAAAGCAAGTGTTAGTTTTTCTGGCCACTTACTAAAATTTGTAATCAAACTGTACATATTTACGTGAAGAGAAAAATGTTGCTGTAAACAACTGTGATCAGATAAATCTTTCTTACTTCTGCACTGCAACTTTTTCTTAAAATGTCGACATAACATCCAGTTGCTGCAAATTTTTTGTGTATATCCTTAACTCCTTAAGATCAAAATTATTATCAAAACTATCCCCTTCTTAGTGTAAGTATAAAATCAAATCATTTACCTGCATTTTTTTCAAAGGAGATCAAGGAAGGATGATCGCGGATACCAAAAACATTAAAAAGCGTAAGAATGGTCGCGTAATCTCAAAACGATATAATCAAATCATTTACCTACATTTTATTCAAAGGAGATCAAGGAATGATGATCGCGGATACCAAAAACATTAAAAAGCGTAAGAATGGTCGCGTAATCTCAAAACAATAAAAATTGTGATATATTCCCAAAGGGTTTTTAAAGTTTGTTAAATTACGATTAAGTCTGAAAAATACATACAGCCCTTTTAATTCCGTGTACGAGTATATATGTTACTATTTTTTTTTGAGCATATTTTCTTCGACATTGGACTGATTTGGATTCAACATACTTCGTTTTATGCCTTTAAAAAATCAGAATTAAAATATTATATAAACATTTTGCAAAAAAAGTTCTAATTCGCACAGCATAAATTATCTGAAAAAAAAATATTCACAAATAATAGACAATGTCAACGCATCCTATTGTTTACAAATGAACTATTATGAATAAGTCTTGGAAAAGTATGCTAAAAAATCGGCACATCAAAGAAGGATTTATTTTGAAACAACAGAACAGAACAAAGGATTCTAATATATCAGAACAACGTTGAAGGAATGATTTAAAAGTTTGCTTGTTCATTATATGGATCTTGAGGATTTAGGCTTCTACAGAACATGAACAAAAACTTTCGTCAATCTCATTTACTCAAAATAAATATGAAAAAGTTGTTGTTTTTACTCTGAGAGTTTTATATAGGTAACATAAGACGTAAAATTAACACATTATTATAATACGATATTCTGAAATGGTTAAAATACGAATTACAGTTAGTTAACCCTAGATTCGTACTTAAAATAGAATTATATTAATTAACAGTATCCTGGGGAACAGCTACCTTCAATAAAAAAAATCCCGAGGTATCCGCGAGTCTTCCTGGCCTCGGCAAATACACCGAAGTACAAAACAATCCAAATTCGCAAAAAAGCTAGGAATGATTTTAATTATTTGCTTTTATTTGTAGCCCAGGGTACGCTTCTAGGACTACAGAAAAATCTAGGAATGAGATTCTTTGGACTTAATCGAATTCGTACGATGCGCCGATATGCAAATGATCGCTAAAATGCTTTTCTTGATCAATCATATTCGTTTTTCGCTATATCTGCTAATGAATGATACTTTATGACGTTTATATACCACAGCGTTAGCTTTGATAGAGAACGTAAATAAATTTATTCAGAAGCCAGATAAAGACGAACGTAAATAAATCTATTCAGAAGCCATATAAAGACTGAGTAGCCTCCGGGGGCGGATCTAAGATGATGCACCTCGCAAACGGGCTCAGAAAATTCGTTTCTTAAAGAATCTTGTCGCTCCTGGCCGCCTTTACCCTCTTCAGTTTTCACCAGGAGCTTGACGCCACGCATTGATAAGGGTTATCTATATCGTGTGGATTCCCTCGCACTGCAGATCCAGCAATTACTCGGATGCAGTCCTGCATAAAAGTAATAAGTGGAAGACATTTACTCAAAAAGATACGGAAATTTATATTTGTACCATTGGAAAATGGTTGACTAACATGATTCGGACAGTAAGAAGAAAAGGGCTAATGCAAGCGGAACATACGAGTAACTCTCGGAAAATCGACGTCAAATGCCGTCTTTCTTTTAAACGAGTGCTTGTTAGATTTTGATGTACTGATATCACACCGTCTTTGCGGCATGAAAAGCTTTCTGGAGAGTATGTATCTTACTCAGAAGATGGCGAGGTAGGGGTATCATAGGTTGCGTTAATAATTCTGTATATTTGTTTGTATCTGGCAGGCACCACCCGCCACAGTATCGGTGGTTCCGCAGGTACCGTATAGGCCGTCGGCTTCCTGCGCGTATTTCCAGCTTGTGAACAGGATTCAGGGAGCGGGTGGAGTCCCTCAGGAGACCGTTGCTTCACAACTCACTCAAGAGCAGCTGCAGTACTATCTGTACTACTATTCGCAGCAGTATCATGAATACTACAAGCAGATGGGGCTGTATCAACAGGGACTGGCCAGTAATCCAGGTGAGTTGGGACTGGTTTTGTGATTTTTTAAAGGTTGGTACCAGTTGTTGTACACTAAACTGTAAGAATCGTGTAGATTGGCCCAATTCTTCCCATCATAGGGTGCCCGATCCATGCAGAGACTGAACATTGCTCTTAAACACTTGACACATAAAACTATTAATGGTATCAGCACATTATTTATAAAATACAATTATACGGGCTATCCTAGTTTTGACCTGAGGATTCATATAAGAGGGAGATATGGGTTTTGAGTTTTAGCTGTTGAGCTGTTGGATAGCAAAATATTACATGGTGGATCTGATAGGCTTAAAATAGACAAAATTTGAATAAAAATCACAATAAGAGTGATGTAAATAGTCTAAATCAAACATGATGATACATTCTTAGTAGTGATTGCATTAATGACACTCTAAGAAGGTTTAAGGTATCGCTTTGCTATACATTTAATAATTGAAATATTTGAGTAAATGATGATTCACTATTTGCTTGTATCTCCTTATAACTAAAAATACTACATCTATTGTTCTTTATTTTATGTATGGTATGTTGAACTTATCTACTACTTTTCTTTTGTTTCCCTGGAAGATGTGATATTTTTGTTATGCGTTTGCTGTGCCTATGGTAATTAACTATAACTGCACTAGTCATGCAAGACTTCTGTCAAAAGCTTATTAAGATGTTTTTGAGAAAAAGACCAATCAAGGTGAAATTTAAAATAATAAAATTGCTGACATAAAATTCACCTGACAAGTGAGGTGATCGCAGATTTGCAAGCTGTCAAACTTGAGAGTGTTTTATTTTTTTATAAAATACCCAATAGCTCAACAACTAACAGTTAAAATAAGTATCTTATGTCAATTTTATTTTAAAAGGGTTTGTCCGAATATGCAATAAAAAAATAGGGTAGTACTTTTGAAAAAAATCAATTTTGATATGTGGGTCAAAATTAGTTGGTTAGTGCTTATAAATGGGCTCATGTATAATAGCCGATCGATAGTTTTATTTTAAAAGGTTCTGTTTAGATGCAATGTTGTCCCGTCATAGATGAAGGTTTATTTTCAAATTTTTCATACGTAAACTTAAAATCTGTGAGCATCTTTGATATATAGTATGTATCAGAATGAGCCAAACCTAAGAGAATTTGATCCGTATGAATTTGTCTTTAATTACGTCCTATCCTAAAGTGAATTTTGAATACAGCAGAAAACAAATGATGGGAGTTTTCAAATGTTTACTCCTTCTCAATTTTCTTGAAGGAGTCCAAGGAATATCAAAAAGTTGTAAAACATACAGAAACGAAATTAGGAAACGGTCGAACTGCAGCAGCTTTCAGAAATGAAGTAGCATTGTGTAGTCATTATGACCCTCATCATATATTTCTTCAGATTTCATCGAAATCAGACGACGAAATCGAGTGATATGAATTTTCGCACTGTAGACGTTACGAAATATCAAAAAAGACAGCAGACATTCGAAAATGTCTTTCACTCATGCATGGGAAACTAAACGGAAGGTTCGCAATATCTCCTCATAATAAATCTTGCAGACGATTTTGAAATTTTGCGAAAAAGTAAAGAAAATTTTGGTTTCTTCTCGATATTTATCAAGTTGTATACAATAGTTCCCAAAGTTGCTGTTCTTTAGGTTTTTGGTCACTTTAAGACGTAATAGAACATTTTTAGGGGTCTCAAAAGTTTCAGTTTGAGTTGGAAAAGCTTAAAGTTTGATGTTCAAAAGTCTCGGGGGCAGGTACACTTTTATAAAAAGTTAACTATTACCGATGATCGACCCCCCCCCTGGACGTAGTCCAACGCCCGTTTCATACGATTCGGTTCGCGCCGCGCGCTTGTTGCGGCGTTGGGCTATGGAAGGAGAGTCTTTTCATACAATGTCCGGCGCGCGCTGGACTCCCCTACGCCGGACATGCGGTCTCTACGCCGGACTACTCCGCGGTGGGCTATTATTGTTATTCGGGTTTTCACATGGTCCGTCACGAGCCGCAGGACCCAACCTCTAGTCTTGGATCTGCCACTGGAGGGTAGATACATACGTGTTCTACGGTATTGTTTTTGTTCAAGTGTTGTGTTTTGTCTTTCCTCACTGTTCCGCAGTGAATTGAATAAAACTTTGAAGGGCCCAGAAGTATGTCGATTATGAAGCAATGGATGAATCCAAAACTGCTTATTTCTTCTTCTTATTCGCCGTCATCCATAGCAAGTACATGGCTAGCACTCTGAAGTGAACAGTCAAATTAAAGGGCGCGGCGCGCGTCGGAGAAAACCGTTCTCGTGTGGAAACATCACCCTTCACGTCGCCGGATATTGTGAAAGAGTCCAAAATGTATGAGTAATACAAATAAAAGAAGGCAATTGAAATTGTTCTAAAAAAATTACCGCATGCGGCCCGCGGGCCGTATGTTGGACAGCCCTGCTCTACACTACGCAGTGGCGAAACGTCCATGTAACCATTGTTACCGTTGGTAACAGTTAAAAATCTTAAAAATAAATAATTTATGACTACTGTGAAATAATTTCATTCATTTACTTACCCAGCAATATGTACTAGTAGTTCAGTAGCAGATTAGCCCCACGAAAATAATGCGCCCAGAATACTGTCTAGATTTTGCGAACGTGATGAAACCGATTCGCCTCGACTTGGTTGTTACCATTTTCGTTTATGGATACACTTGATAGTACGTCGTGGACAGTCGGTACCGGCTCGTGTCTGATCGCGGTCGCTCAAGTGCTTGGGCCGCCGCGATTATTATGTAGGCTTGTTACCATTTTTTGTTTTGGTTACTCACTTCTCCCTAGTTAGTAATCGTTTTGGTTGCCGGCTGTAGTATGCGGGCAATTAAACATGGTTGAGTGTCGCTGCGTAATCGATCAACTGCTTGGAAAGTCATTCTCCTTGTATAATTTTGAAGACAAAAAGGGATCTTTGAAAATGGAATACCAACTTATTTTAGATAATTTTAAAGAGGAATAAAAAAAGTAGTTATTTTTAAATTTAGTTGGTATATTGAAAACTCTTGGTTATGTGGTTGTAAGAAAAACAGATTGTATTGTTGGCCATGTCTACTGTTTTCTAAAAAAAAATGGGTGGACCAGCAACGATTTAAATTTTTTTAGGGTTCTGAAGAGGAGACATGAAATTTCTCCTTTATATGTGAGATGTGTAGCCAAGTTGATTCAGTTTGGCAAAACAAGAATCGAAAGTTGTCTTAACCAAGATTTTAGGCAGCACAATTATAGATGCTGTATGTTTTTTGACCAAACAAGAATTACGATTTCGGGGTCATTTTGAAGGGGATGACTCTGACAATAGAGGAAATTACTGGGAATTGTTAACATTAATTGCCAAAAAAGATCCAAAATCTTCCGAACATCTAGAAACGTCTACTGTTTTTCGGAAGGCTTGGATTAGTCATAGACGATGAGGTATATCAAGTGGCGCAGACGCCCAGTCCAGCAATGTTTACCTTAATTTTAAAAAAATTTAAATATACCTAAATACCTAAAATAAGCAAAAACTTTTACATGGGATGGTCAAAATAAAACTTTTTTAAACAGATTTTTCTCATCTGGCTTTACTAACAGTTTAGGAAAAGTCACGCCTCGCCACTGACACTACGCTACATTTTGGTAAAAAGTAGGATTCAATAACTGTCCGCAAATTGTACTTGCAAAAGATCAAGATACAGCCTATTAATCGTTGGTCTGTCTTCCCAGGACAATTTATACCTCCAGCCGACTTTCAGAGCCTGGATCCGAATATCCAGGCATACATTCAACATGTGACATACAACCAGTACATGCAGCAGTTTCAACAGCAAGCTTCCAACAATTCTTACGCGCAGATCGTTTCGAATGTAAATAAAGACAATCCCTATGCTGCGAATGTGCCGCAGATCCCTCAAAGTGTACAACAAAAGCAACCAGAAAAGGTAATTATGCTCAAAAAGATTTCGAACGGTAATGTGAATAAAACGTAAATAAAGATTTTGATATAATGCTTCCAGAAAACAAAATATGAGTAGACTCTAACGTGAGGCCAATGCGATAGCTGGAGATACAAATGTTACCCAAGTGCAGAAAATATACCTAGCATTGGAATCTGACTTTACTTGAACCGAAGTTCTAGTTTTGCTCTAATGTCTTCTTCTATACGATGCAATAACACAAGAAACCATACGAAAAAATATTTAAAAAACGAGATCACATTTTGTTCATATTTTGAGGAAATGTTTTAGTGCATTGGAAGTTTCATATCATTTTTTTTACCATTTCTATAAATTGTGGCGAAAATTAAACTAGATAAAATGTCATATTTATTATAAGATTCTATGTCAATATTAAGGATCATCTCAAAACAAAATGGTCAATTCCATTAAAACGTTGCAAAGTCCTATTTATTTGTTGCTACACATCGTTACGGTTTTGCGGTTTTATCTCCGGTTGCGCACTAGGAGGATATTTATAAAAAAATGCACTTCGTGTTTTAAAGTGAATAAGCACTTCTATATTTTCAGGAACCCGTTGCAGAAAAACCAAAACAAGCGATGAAAAAATCACTACATTGTCTTGCCGCAGCTTACGGATCAGACTCTGAATCGGAAGATGATGATGATGATAAAGAAAACGATGAAAATGAAGAAACCTATAGTCATCCTACAGGGGAGATGCAAGTGATAATAGACAAGATGGCGTTATATGTATCGAAAAACGGAGAACAGTTTGAGGAAATAGTAAAAGCGAAAGCAGATCCCAGATTCAACTTTTTGAATGACGGCCACGAATTTAACAAATATTATAGGGAGAAGATTAAGGAAATGAAAGGTGGGAACGCAGAAAAGAGTGCAAAGAAGGACGATAGTGATGAAAAAGAGAAAAAGGAAGAAAGTGAGAAAAGAGTAGTCAAGAAAGAAAAGAAAGTAATTGGTAAGGTCTATCTAAGCTTCTTAATATTTCACCTTTTACTTACAAATAAATCGACAAATTAGTATTGAATGATACATCAAGCGAACCCATTTATTAGTCATTGTTCTGGTTGCTATTGTTTTTGAAAAGAAAAACAATTGATTGGACACCTTTGGGAACAAGTTTTACAATTTTTAAAATGCATGTTCTTCAATTCTTACGTTGTCATTTTTTGAAAAGGAGAGGTTGTATTTTTTATCAATAATAAACAGTGGATGTGGAATAACACTTTAAGGGGAACTGTGTTACGTTTGGTTGATAGAAATGATGATTTTCTTGATAAATGACAAGAGAAAAAGCGAGGAGCTGCCGCTGTCGTCCATCAGTCCCATGTGTAAATACAAAGTTAATTTTGTGATGCAAAATTTAATGAAAAATCTACTTGACATTATTTTGCCGAAAATACACATTTTATATTGGTTGTGCTACTCCCTTGTTTGCAAGAATTAGGCCCTGGTTCATCTCACTACGACAGCTTCCAATTTATTCCAGCTCCAGTATGTTTTTCAATAAAAAAATCCAAAGACGACACTCCGAAAGAAATAAAAAGCGCCTTGCCCGTGGAAGATAGTGACGAAGAAGAGGAGAATGCCGCTCCTACACCACCTGTTGTTCCTGCACCCGCTTCACTTGTGGCTTCGCTGAAACAAATTGCTGAGAATAAGAAGATCGAAAGACAAACTTTCTTGGAAGCTAAATCGACAGAGACTAGAAAGTATGAGAAATCTGGCACAACGGAGAGTAAACAGTCCGAGTTAAGGGTAAGTATATATAAAACTTTGTAGGGGACCCCACCCAACTGAGGCGAATCCCAAATGAAGGGTAAACTTTGAAGTATATATTGTCATAAAAAGAGCATTAATAATATAAATTTTCATGGGTGCTCGCAGGAAGTTTTTTTGGTCAGAGAGGGTGGATTATCGGCAAGAGATAATTTTCTGTAAAAGTGTAGCTATGTAGCTACCCTCAAAACTTTTGAAGAGCGAGGGGTAGCTGATTCTTCCGAAGTTGGGGAGGGGCATTGTGAATGCGAACATTTTTGAAATTCAGTTAAATGTCTCTTGTTTTGCCATGTCTACAACACGTAAATCCATGTGGGGTCATAGCAGGTAATGCTACTTTTGAACATCGTTTAAATGGCAGTGGTGTTATGAGTGAAAATTGAAATAGTTATCTTATTGTCCCAAAGTTTGTTTTTATATGCTTCACACTTTCTGGACATTTTTAAAGGTAATCAAATATATTTGCTTCAGGATAGGGCGTGTTCAAAAACATTATGGAGCTAAAAGATTTTGTTTCTTTTGCAAAAGGCTTATCTTGACACATGGAAAATTTGCATATAGGCATAGGTGAATGGTTGGGACGTAGCGAGCCAATCTACTTTCCACTATTTTTCCGATTTTTTTTTTATTAAACCATATATAGCGGAAGGCGATACGGTACCAGGCTTAATAGTCAACATTGCTTCATAGTAGTGGAAAAATAATTTAATTACTTTTAATTTAGAAATGCTACTTTCAGCTGCCTAAAAACTTATGTGAGATTGTGTAAAACACTTCTTTTTTTCGTACGTGGGGGCCCCGGACCATTGATACGGCAGTAGTTACCCCCTGGTCATATTTGAAACAGTTTTGCTCGCGTCCATGAGATCATATCGCTACTATACAGTAGCGGGCAAAGGTTTGGAAACATTCTTAGTAATTTTTAAAAAGTTCGCTAATTTTTTATTCTTTATTATTAAGGACTATTTTTTCGCATATAGTTTGCTTACAGTCTTGAGGATACAAATGACAATTTGTGTTTGCTGCGGTACTACAGACTAGCATTAAAATACCTTCATATTATTTTAAGACCAAAAATGAGACGAGATAAGTATGGAAAATTATTTTTTATTACAAAATTAAATACTGTTTAGCTAATATTTGGTAGCATAGACTTAGCATTCAACACTGCCTGACATCTGCTGCTCATAGCAAAGAATTCCATTTTTGAAAGATTGCAAATTTCACAAAACAAGTGCATTAGAATAATACTGAATAAAGATAAATATACAAGTAGATAAATGCTTAGCAAATTAAAATGGCTCAATGTAAAATATTTTATCAAAAATCTTGTTATGATATTCATTTATAAAGTAAAAAATAATATATTTACACCAAGTTTAACTAATTTAACATCATCAAATATGCCGACCATCATTTACATAATACCAGAAACAAAATTGCATTCCATTTGATGACCAAAAAGTATTACATATGCTACAAATTTGTATTCCATCAAGGGTTGATTGAATATAATAAATTATATCCAGATATAAAAGAGCAAAAAACTTTCACAAAATTCAAAGTAAAATTGAGGAATCACGATAAATCTACAATTATAGCCTACCCAGCATTTATATCATATGGCTTTTTACTAATTCTAAGTTGTTTACAATTATTCTATTGAGGTAGACCAACGTGCTAAATAAATCATTCTACTACTACTACTACTGCTACCAATTTTTTACAGACGTCTGTTGGGATATTTTGCCAAATATTTTATTTTGGTCAGTTGTCTTTTAACATGCTCCCAGAGATGTTCTATAGGGTTTAGGTCCGGGAATTGCGAAGGTCATGTAAGAACGTTAACATTTTTTAGTCTTAACCAGTCGTTTACCAATTTTGACATATGCTTGGGGTCATTATCTTGCTGGAATGTCCATCGCAAAGGCATTTCTTCTTCAGCAAAAGGGAACATGTGTTTACTAAGAATATCTTTTCAAAGTTTTTGATCCATTTTCCCAACAATTATAACAATTGGACCCGTTCCAGAAATAGAAAACAGCCCCAAGCCATGCTGTTGCCTCCACCGTGCTTAACTGTTGGCAACTGATACTTTTTGTCGAATCTTTTTCGTATTGGACGTCTCATATACAAGTATGTCGTACTATCAGATCCAAACAAGTTAAATTTGCTTTCATCACTCCATAAAACTGTATTCCATTGTTGTTCTGTCCAAGTTAGATGAGTTTTAGCAAATTCAAGCCAAGCAATATGTTTTTTTTAAATGAGAGGCTTTTGCACTGAACGCCTACCAAAAACCCCAAAATCCAACAAGCGTCTCTACACTGTTCTGACAGAAAGATTCTCAGCACTCTCTTCTGCGATTCTTTAGAAAATCTCTGTAGCTGGCATTCGAGGATCTTCATGAGACAAACGTGTAATGTGTAACGATCCAAAACATAATCGTTTGTTTTTCGGTCTTCTGCACCTGGGGCCTGATTCTACATGAGTTTCGAACGTTCAAATTAATTTCGATAGCGCATTGTGACGATATACTTGAATCGCAACTGTAATTTTGACATGTGATCGTGAATATCGATCTTGTATTTTCAAATTATCATGGAAGTGTCAAAATTATCATAGCAAATCAAGTATATCGCCAAAAGGCGCCATCGAAATCAATTTCAACGGTCGAAACTCATTCAAAATCAGGCCACTGCGCCGCGTTGCTGTTGATCCGTATTCTTGATATTTACTAATAATTTTCGAAATCGTCCATTTGTTCATTTTAATCTTTGAGAAATGTTAACATTTCTGACACCGATTCTAAATAATTCAATTAATTTGTCTTTTGAAAATTCTTATACTTTTGCCATTCTCACTTTAGTGCACCCAATATCGAGAGTATCACAGAACGAATCAATACTGCAAAACTGGAATGTTTCCATACTTTTGTCGTTACAAAACTGTGGTCTTAAAAAAAACGCGTATTTTTATTTTCAGAGAATTTGAATATTAATAATATAAACCTTGTATTAGTACGGGAGACAAAGGTAGACTTCAATATTTATATTATCTGTTCCTTCACAATTTTAATTTAGGTATACGAAATATTTCATAATAATGTTAATATTTGTTTCCAAACTTTTGTCTGCTACTGTATGTATATAAAGGCGAATATATACTCTCACTATTCACGAAATCTTGAAAATTACTTGACCTACGAACATGAAATTTTTGGACAAAATTTGGCTGCGAGGTATTTTATAGGCAGTGAGTATCAGTTAAGGAGGAATTTTGTGACATGACCGAATTAAAGGCGCCTAAGGATGTTCCAAGTTTATATGAAGTTCCTTTGTCTTTCTACTAGATGTCAGTTTTTGTCGAATTTCCCGACAGCTCGGATTATTAGGATTAAAGGGCACTGGCAAGTTTGTTTAAAATTCCTTGCAGTTTTTTGCTAGATAACAAAAAATTCGCCATAATGAGGTTGTTTAGAATATATTCAAATTAAGAATGGACAAGCTAAGCGGTCCAAGAGATGTCACAATTGGAGAGCCGAAATTTGGCAGAGGGCTATATGAGTGAATAAATAATCTTGTATGGTAACATAGACCAACTGCAGAAGCCTTCTGTGTTTTTCGTCGTTACATTTTGAAACAATTAAACAATCAAATTTCTCAAGCATGCAAGTTGGCTGTTAAATTATGAATATCCTCAAGGTTACAAAACGCGAACAGAAGCTAGTAACAATTTCGGCGAAGGATGTCGCCGGTATCTGCTAGTATTTCATATTTCTTTCAAGGTGGAAAAACCAGCGACCAAACATTCAGACTTAAAACAGACTAATGAAAAAGAGAGGGATGTGGTGGATCAGAACCAAAAACTGGATGTTAAGACAACCACTAAGGGTGAAGAAAATGGAAGTAATGGATTGGACAACGAGAAGACAGTAAGAAGCAGAAGTGGCTCTAAGGAAATGAGTCCGATAAAGAATGGCGTTTTGGATGGGGATGATCCGATTCTTGAACTCATTGAACTGACAGGAGAGGATATTGAGGACAACAGTAATAATACAGGTTAGTAGTCACTATGAACGTCTCAATCGTATCATTTTTGATCAGGCCTGTCGGACCTACTAAGCTATGAGAGAGCTAAGGGGGATCTGAGATTCTGGCTGTATCCAAAAATATGTCCTACCCTCACTCTTGACATATAGATGCGACAGTGACTGTATATATATATACTTCGAAGTTGAGTCATTTATTTTAACAGTGAGTAGATCTGATCAAAAGAAATGTTTTTTCCTTTAACATTTTTGTTGTAAAATTAAAGTAACAAAGTTATAGCCCTTTAGAAGTTTGAGTACCGCCCTGTCTCAATAATAATATTATGTGCTCGTGTTTGGCAACAACGGATATACTCCGCCTTATAGGTTCATCGCATCGGAAACAAAAAAGCGAAAGAATTTGAAACGCTGATCACGATGTTTTTATTCAGTCAATGTGTCAGTCGGTAACGCGTGAGTGAATAGTGGTGTTTGCTGCGTGGCTCAAACGAAATAAAAAATGGTACATATTTATGCGGATCGGTTTCCCAATCGAGTGCAACCAACCCCTCGTGCCTTTGTTAATGTAGTACAACGGGCTCGTGAATCAGGTGACTTAAGACCTCACAGGGGAGGGCATGCCGGTGCTCCAAGACCTCACGATCAAATACAGGTCAGGACTGAAATACTTGTCGGGAGGATACTTTATAAAACAAGGTAAACATTTTTTTTTAATTTTGATTTATTTTTACACACATATTTTGGTTTATCTTCCTTCTACAATCATCTGAAAATTAATAACTCACTTCAAAGTCACCCTGTATATATATATATTATATATATATATATATACATCTGCACTATTTGACAACTATCCTACCAATTATCATGGGCGTCTACAGAAAATTTTACCAAAGAGCTCAAAAAATGTATGGATGTGCTCCCTCCCATGCACTCTGAAAAGCAAATGCATGATGAGCCCCTAAGATATTTTGAATAGCGGGGTGAAAATATGTAAATAGGGACTGATAGCATTTCAAAAGTACAACAATGTTCAAAGAAAAATGCTAGCATTGTTAGAGTGCGGTTTGTGGAAAATGGTTTTGTATCGTGATTTTGGATAAGAACAACTAAAAAAATAAGTTGATTGTATGAAAAAATAGCTTACTATTTTGAACTCTTATAAAAGTAAAATATATGACCAACAAACAATTTTCTACATTTTATAAACAGCCATTTGTGCTTTCTGGTAAGGCATAGAAATGCACTCTATTAACGAAATCCTAGACAGTATTTTCTATCGATCCTGTATAATGATCAGAATCTGCTGTTTTAAACATACAATATACTGAAAACCAAATTTCTCTGACGGCTTGAGTTCAATCTGTACGAGAGAGGTGTGTATAGACACATATATTAGAAAGATGGAAGCCAGCTGGATAGCGAATCTCATCGCCGCGTGAATCCGTTACACCAGTTCCTTGAATTAATATCTTTAAAATGTGAATTAGTTTATTATCTATGCTCAAATAATGGTTTTGTTTTTTGTTTTGAGCGTACACTTGAATTGTGAATTATGTCGAATCTGTTTAGGTTTGATTCCGGATCGGTAAGCCTCAGTAAAATATGTTTCATAACTACACATATTCATAGCAAGCTTCATAATTTAGGTAATAACTTTAATTGTATGCAACCAATAAATGCGTGATTTCCGAACTTCTGACATTATATAAGTATAATTCAATGAACTCTAAATAAACTTACTTTTTCAAAATTATTATTTGAATGTGTCAGCGACAGTGATAGAAATCATACCAAACGCAACGTACTTGATTTTTGACAGACAATGTAGTACTTTGTGGCGAAGGTGGTAAGGACCGCTCTGACGGGCAATGATGAATAGAATCGTTGTAAAAAAATGAGGAGGCCACTTAAATGACGATACTTGCAATAATACCATATGTTCTTGATTTAGCCGAAGGAAAACTCAAAAACAAGTTAGCAGCAGCAAAAGAAAGACTAAACGCCGTATCCCGGTTGCAACTAGAGAGAAAGCGGAAAGCGGCCGCCTTTTTGAAGCTAAAATCTACAGCTTTGCCACAACAAACACCTTCAGAAAAACAAGGAAGTCCGTTGAGGGGGAGTTCTGCTGATGTGATAGATGATACTGTGAAAATAAACAGAGTCGAGAAGCAGGAGAGCGATTCTGGAACTAGCAGGTACATACAGTATGTTATCACTAGTATTACAAAATGCATCATAGAAATAGGTATTCAGACCTTACATCGATGTTTCAATAAAAAATATCGATTGTCTACCTTTGATTGTCATTTTATATACTTGTATATCATCAATGCATTGATGTCATTTCACATGATGTTTCTTAAGAAACAGTTATCTTTTTGATATCCTGAATTCTATCACTAGAAACTTCCTCTGGTTTTGGGAAAAACTCAAATGTATAAATTATATTTTTGTGTTTGTTCTTAAAACATAAAAACAGAAACGAAAATTATTTTTATTCAAACACACAAAAAGACTACAAACTCAAAAAATGTTGATTCTTCGATACATCGATGTTGATTAGGCGATGTTTCTATACATCAATGTTTTTTTAACTGAAATATTGATTGTCAACACTGGTTAAGTGTATAATCCCCCTCCCGCTTGAGGGGCATGGCTCACCCCGTGTTGCCATTTACAGTGATAATGATGAGTTTATTTTTATCACGTCGTATAGTTGATTCACAAAACATGAAATTTCTGTACGATTCCGCTTTAGTTAACGTCGTTGTGTCAGTTGTTCGGCCTGGTCCTCAAGGTAAGAGATATGGAGGTTGTGTGAAGTCTTGTTTGAAACACATTTTTCTCCATTTCTCTGCATAAAGTATTATAAATAACTCAACATTTAGGTAACTATTGTAAGAATACATTGAACTGTATTTTACACAGAAGTAAATCAAAATCGCCTTTGAAGATGGAAATGGAAGCAAGAATAAGTATATCAGATGATTCAGAGGTAGAGAGGGAGAGAAGGAGAGAAAAGAGGAAGCATAAATTGAGGGAGAGATCGAGAACTAGGGATAGGGATAAAGTAAAAAAGAAAAAGAGGGAGAGACGAAAGAAAAGTCATAAAAGGTAAGACATTTGATTTTATTTGCTTTTATTTCGGGTAACTTATTTTTCCTTTCATAGCCAGGGTTATTCGGGAAAATGATTCTGACCTTGAATTTAAGCACGTTGTAAGGTCGATTCCCACAGACACTAGATTTTTTTTATTTTCATCTTTCAAACGGTAAATTGCGGCTTATTGATTTATTCAGATTGTAATTAGAATTGGTGGTAGCAGACACAGATATAAATAGAATTAAGCCAAAAATTGATAGTGATATACAATCAAACAAAAAATGGTGTAACAATAATTTCTTAACTCTCAATGTTAGTAAGACAAAACTTATAACATTTAAATGCGCCTTTGACTTTATAATTTTAAATAATGAATTGATATATAAAATAGACACCATCAAATTTGTGGGACTAGCCATTGAGTATAAATTAGATTTTAATAATCGTGTAGCAAGGATTTATTTTATTTTAAGAACAATTACTTACAATGTAGGTGACTTAACATGTTGGATGCCCATCAAATTGACGTGTTTTTCCACCAGTACCTACTATGAAATTTCAGTTTACCTGCTTTGAATTGTTACTAAATTCAATAAAGAGTAATTTGTTTCGCTAAAATTGGCGTCGAGGGCACTCAGCATCGATTTTTGTTCCTTAGCGCCCACTGACGCAGACCTGTCGTCACGTTATACATATATTGGTTTATTTATTTTTTAGAATACAAAAATAAAAATACTATATATACTATATATAGTACACAGAGCATCAAAATAACTTACAAAAAACAACTAAAACATAACACGACATAAATGAAATAAGAAACTAACTAAACATACTTAAAAAGTAAAATAATTTTTCGGACCCAGAAGGTAAATTCTATAAAAACCTGAAATTGTCCAAAACAGTGATTCGAGGCACACTCCAGGCGCGGTTGACTCTCAACTGCTGGGCCCGTTCCACAGCATGAATTTACATAGGCTTGCGTCGAAGATGACACACTGTCGTCATAGGCACTGCTATAGAAAACCGCATGACCACACAGTGTCGTCATGGGCATCAAATGTGTTAAGCAGTTACTTTGCCTTATTTGAAAGTATATTGAGTTATAGCATTCCCTTTCGTCGAGTCTGTTCCCAAAATTGTTAAAAAATGACGAAAACAAGATCTCAAATGGGTAATACTTATATCAACACTTGTGAAAGAATAATTTATAATGATCTGAAAATTTACATGTGTCTCCCTGATGCTGACAAAAGAGTTAACAATCAGATATTTGGCCGTGATCTTGGAAAAACTTTGTAATATGTCAACAATATTGTACCATATGTGGGTTCTACAATGCATTTACTTAAGATCCAGATATCTAATTATGTCATAGTTTAGTCTTAAGTTAGCTTTGTCATTAAGAATGATTGTATTCTTCAGAAAATAAAGCATATATCTATTCATTATTGATAATCATGTTTGTTTGGCCAAATGAAACCACATATATATTTAAAATGTCTCTTCATTGTGCGATGTATATGTGCAATGGTGAACCTTTTCAAGTACAATGTCACTTTTGAAAACATATGTTGTTTACCGTTTGTTTTTTCATTAATTTACTGATAAACAAAATGTATTGCCAAAAATATCAATTGTACTTGAAAAATGTCACTATTAGCACCGAAATGTCATGTAATAAAGAGGACTTTTAAACATATATGTGGTTTGATAAGGCCAGATAAACATGGGGGATTATCAGTATGGGAACCACAGGATGTTTCATATATTACATTATTATGATTATTACTTGCATTCTTTGCGTTTTTCGGCCCTTTAATATAGTATGTTTCATAAAATAGCCTCATATTATTCAAATTTTATGTATTTTCAGAAAACATTCCAAGAGCAAACACGACAAAAGCAAAAAGAAGCTGATGAAATCCCACAGAATGTCTAACTCTGTAGAAAATTCGTGTAGTTCAGAGAGTTCGTGATCCAGACCGTAATTGTCTTAAATGCTAAAATGATTATATTAATGAATTTGTAATGTTTTTCATATTGTACAAAAGGCATGTAAATAAATATTGATTATTTGTATAATATATTTATTTTGTGTAAAATACTGTTGAGAGTAGTGTGGCAGTGCTTGATGAAAACTTGAAAAGTATCATGAAAATAAAACGGGTTCCATCTAACTTCAGCCACGAAGATGTTTCATTACTGTCAATAAATTTTCAACTGGATCTCTTAAAAAGAAGATACGAATATAACTTGAGTCAAAAAGTAGATTGGCATCAATACTTAAATCGCAACTATGTACAGGGAGTTACATAAGTGTGCATTCCTGAATCAAATTCAAATATAAAGGGTATCTCAACAAGAGCGCCGGGTTTGAATTTGCCGTCATTTTTTGTACAAATGGTATGATGTTTACTTGACAGCTGTAACAAGTCCAGACCACGCGATTAGACGTCATGGAGCAGTATTCAAACGAGCAACGTTTAATTCTTGTGAAAACAAAAATGGAGAAAATTATGAGGAAACAGTTCGCAAATTACGTACAATTTTCGGTCTCAATGATAATAATTTATTCACATCAATTCCACATTGTGAACAAATACATACGCCACAAAAGGAAAATATGCTTGTACATACATACTATAACTAACTAAGAAAAAAAATCCATATAAGTATGTATATGTACATCAAATTTGGATCGTACACTGACAATGAAGAAAAAATATGTGTTAATTTTTTATAAATTAAATCATGTTATATATATATATATATATATATATATATATATATATATATATATATAACATTACCAACTCCACCATGGACGTCCCCACCAACGCCCAAGTGCCGTCAATTCAAAGGGTTCCCCACACTATGCGGGAGGTAACATTCAGGCATAAGACCGTAAGACGAGTGCTCTTGTCGCTCGACATCAACAGAGCTTCTGGTCCGGACTTGATTCCTGCCATTGTGCTGAAGAGATGTGCAGCGGAGCTTGCTCCAGTTCTTTCGCGTCTCTTCCAGATATCTTATGAATCCGGCACCTTCCCAGAAAACTGGAAATTTGCTCATGTACAGCCCATCCCAAAAAAAGGATCTAAAACCGACCCTTACAACTACAGGCCTATAGCTCTGCTTTCTGTTATAAGTAAAGTGATGGAGAGGTGCATAAATCGCGAGCTTCTGGACTACCTCGAACGTCACAGCTTGATTAGCGACAGGCAGTACGGTTTCCGGCACCAACGATCCACAGGGGACCTCCTAGCTTACGTCACGCAACTGTGGAGTAAACTCATCCAGTCTCATGGTGAGGCTCATGTCGTTGCTCTTGACATCACGAAAGCGTTCGATCAACTGTGGCACGCTGCCCTCTTAAGCAAACTTCCATCCTACGGCCTCCCAGAAAAGCTTTGCAGATGGGTGGCTGACTTTATCTCTGGCCGCAAGATATCCGTCGTAATTGACGGATTCTCCTCTTCATCCCACAACGTCAACGCGGGTGTTCCCCAGGGATCGGTCTTGGCTCCAACACTGTTTCTCTTACATATCAACGACCTCCTTTCCTGCACGATCAACCCAATCCACAGCTTCGCTGATGACAGCACTCTACATGCAGGAATTCAGAGTGACGGGCCGATCTCTGCCGCTGAGCTGGAAAAAAGAAGACTAGCGACGACTTCTTCTCTGACAAGAGACCTGGAGGCTATCACTGCTTGGGGACGCAACAATCTTGTACAGTTCAATGCTTCCAAAACACAGTACTGTACTTTGACGAACAAAAAGCGTCCTAGCGCTCATACAGTTTCGATGGACGGTCGAGTTCTACCAAAGAGCCATTCATTTCGGCTGGTCGGAGTCCAGATCACCGAGGACCTGATCTGGCACGAACACATCTCTTCAATAGCTGCAGCTGCTGGGAAAAAGCTAGGCTATTTGTTTAGGGCTAAGAAGTACTTTTCTCCGCATGACCTTCTCACTCTATACAAGGCCCAAATAAGGCCTAGCCTCGAGTATTGCTCACACATTTGGGGTGCTGCCGCCCCGACTACATTGTCCATGCTCGATGCTGTCCAGAGGAAGGCGGTCCGACTGATCGATGACTCTTCTCTAACAGACAGTCTCGGGACTCTTTCGCACCGGCGGGCCGTCGGCGATCTAGCTCTTTTCTATCGCTACACCAACGGGCTTTGCTCCTCAGAGCTCTCTTCCATGATGCCGCCGCGCGATGTGCCTGCCAGACAGACCCGCCTGACTTCGGCGTCCCATCCTAACCGTATCAAACTTCGTACATCCAGAAGTGGCCGATACGACCACTCCTTTGTCCCGAGGGTGTCTAGATTGTGGAACCATCTACGGGAGGAAGCTTTTCCCAGTTCTACTAACCTTAGGCAGTTCAAAAATCGTATTAACAAAATTTCTTTGGGATCATCATAGCAGCCGCGGTGTTCCGGCATTTAGGCTTCTGCCTGCGCGGCTGTTTCGATATAAAAAAAAATGATATACATATATATATATATATATATACAGGGTGTTCCATAATTATTGCGACAAAATGATAGGGGTTGTAGAGGGCATAAAAATATGCAATTTTGCCTTATAAACCCCTGTCCGTAAATATGCCGTTTGATCACTACCGCTAATTTTACCTTAAGAACTCATAGGAGAAACAAAAAATTCACCAGCTGCAAAATGTTCGTCTAGCACATTTCATGGTCTCGCCGGTTTAACTATATAGTAAATAACAGTACCTTAGTGTTAAAATGCAGCGTTATTCGTATTCGGAACTTGCGGATATGCATTTAATTTACGGAGAAGCTGGTGGTAACGGAAGACGAGCCTCGCGAATCTACGGCCAACGGTTTCCAGAACGTCCTCATCCGCATCACGCCATTTTTGCAAGGATTCATGGACGTCTTCATGTCAGTGGCAGCATCAGACACCTCGCGAGAGCAGGGCGGCCCTTCACGAGGCGCACAGTAGAATTTGAGGAAGCGATTCTGCATCATGTAGAGGCCAATCCGCGTACAAACGTGCACATGATATGGGAGCGTCTCAAACTACTGTTTGGCGGGTTCTCCATGACCAGCAACTACACCCATACCACCTTTTAAAAGTCCAAGCCATGGGTCCAGAAGACTATCTGCCGCGTCGACGTTTTTGTCGTTGGTGGCTGCAGCAGGAGTTGAGACAACCAAACTTTGGTCGCTACGTTTTGTTCACTCACGAGTCCTGTTTTACAAAGGACGGTTATTTTAATAGCCGTAACAGTCACATTTGAGATGAAGAAAACCCTCATGCCATAGCCATCCATAGAGACCAACATCAGTTTTCAATTAACATCTGGTGCGGCATTGTGGACGAGCATATCATCGGGCCATATTTGCTTCCACCACGTTTGGATGGGCATGCTTATGGTCGATTCTTACAGCATGTGCTACCGGAACTAAAGGAAAATGTGCCACTGAACCACTGAACCAAGAGCCAACATGTGGTTTCAACACGATGGCGCTCCAGCCCACTTTTCTTTACAAGTGCGGCAGTATTTGGACAACAAATTTCCAAGTAGGTGGATAGGCCGAGGTGGCCCTGTGCCTTAGCCTGCGCAGTCACCCGACCTGACCCCACTGGATTATTTTCTCTGGGGCCATCTGAAAGCTTTAGTGTACGAAACTCCTGTTCCCAACCAACAAGAGCTACTGGGAAGAGTGATAGCCGCGACCGCACATGTTCAGGACATACCGGGGGTATGCCACAGAGTTCGCCGATCACTGAACAATCGTGCACAGCTGTGTATAGAGCAAGGTGGAGGACACTTTGAGCAATTACTGTAGGTAAGCTGTTTCAAGAAACTGATCTTTTTTTTTTGCTGCAGCCTAAACGGCATATTTCCGAACAGGGGTTTATAAGACAAAATTGTTCATTTTGATGCCCTCTACAACCCCTATCATTTTGTCGCAATAATTATATATATACAGGGTGACTTCGAAGTTGAGTCATTTATTTTAACAGTGAGTAGATCTGATCAAAAGAAATGTTTTTTTCCTTTACCATTTTTCTGGTAAAATTAAAGTAACAAAGTTATAGCCCTTTGGAAGTTTGAGTACCGCCCTGCCTATTATATGCTCGTGTTTGGCGACAACGGATATAATCCGCCTGACCGGTTCATCGCATCGGAAACAAAAAAGCGAAAGAATTTGAAACGTTTATCACGATGTTTTTCGTCAGTCGATAACGCGTAAGTGAATAGTAGTGTGTTGCGTGGTTCAAACGAAATCAAAAATGGCACATGTTTACGAAAATGCTGAACTTGTGGACATGATTCTTATTTACGGGGGGGGGGCAGTCTTTACAAAATGCTCCCGGATGCATCACGGATTTATGCGAATCGGTTTCCCAATCGAGTGCAACCAACCCCTCGTGCCTTTGTTAATGTAGTACAAAGGGCTCGTGAATCAGGTGACTTAAGACCTCACAGGTGAGGGCATGCTGCTCCAAGACCGCACGATCAAATACAGGTCCGCACTGAAATACTTGTCGGGAGGATACTTTATAAAACAAGGTAACATTTTTTTTTTAATTTTTTTTTATTTTTACACACATATTTTGGTTTATCTTCCTTCTACAATCATTATCTGAAAATTAATGACTCAACTTCAAAGGCACCCTGTATATATATATATATTGGTAAGCTATGATGGACCTAAGTATATAGAAGATTTCAAAATTATTTCTTTGTTTGGTGTTGCAATGATTATTTGTTTATTTTTATTTCTAGTATCATATTGATAATTTTTATAAATGGTCGAAAGTTTGTTTTTATGGAATTCTAGTATAACATTATACCAAAATAATGTTTTCATGACGAAAACTTTTGATTCTATAATCAGTGATTTGGAGGGATATAGTAAAGGTTTATTATGAATTGTTTTTATGAATAGTTTTTTTATTACTTATAAAGAATTTCGATGGTTATTATTCGTGGATCCCCAGATAATAATTCCATAGGTTATGTGGCATTCAACTAATGATATAAAATTTTTAATTGACTTTCATTGAAAATTTGTTTGTAGTATCTGAATTTATATAAATCTAAGTTTCTTTTTAATGTATTGGATATGTTCATCCCAACGAATGAGACGTCGATTCGCCATTTAATCACACAATTTGAGACAAAATTCACGTTGCTGGAGGTGAAGACCACTGTTCATCGCCGTCCTGGTCGGTCCCTCGAAAATATAGTCGCACTGCGGGAAAGTGTGGGCGAGAATCCAGGCACTTCGTGTGGCCAAGAATTGAACCTTACCAGACCCACTCTGCAACGAGTTTTGACAAAAGATCTGTGCTTGCATGCGTACAAGGTTTAACTGGCGCAAGAACTCAAGCCAGCGGACCATGCGCAGCACTGTGAATTCGTTGATTGTGCGCTGGAGCACCACCAAATTGATGCGGATTTCTCCAAGAAATTTTTTTTCTGATGAGGCACACTTTCAACTGAACGGGTATGTCAATAAGCAGAACTGCCGAATTCGTAGTTCTGAAAACTCTAGTATAATAATCAAACAACCAATGCATCCGCCGCGAGTTACCGTTTGGTGCGCATTGTGGAGTGGCGGAGTGATTGGATCGTATTTCTTCGAAAATGCAACTGGAACTGAGGTAACTGTTAATAGTGTGCGGTATCGCGAAATGTTAACCGAGTTTTTGTGGCCCCACTTGGATCGAATTGATGACGATATGTTCTTCCAACAAGACGGTGCGACCTGCCACCCAGCAATGGTGTTACTGCGGACCAAGTTTCCAGACCGTGTTATCTCTTTGGCGATCAAAATTGGACACCAATATCGTGCGATCTAACGCCAATGGACTTCTTCCTCTGGGTGAAGGAAGAGGTGTATGCGAACAAGCCTCAAACAGTTGAACGCCTTAAAGAAGAGATACGGCGCGTTATCGACGTAATAGAGCCACAGTTGTGCGAAAACGTTTTTTAGAATTTTAAGAAAAGACTGACCCTGTGCCAGAGGTTTCGTGGTGGCCATTTCCGGATGTTCTATCTCATGTTCAATCGCAACTATTCCTCATGACGTTGAAATATAAATACTCGCCTAATTCGAAAAGAAATTGTGTTTTTCTTGAAAATCAATTCAGGCGCTCTTATTGAGACACCCTTTACAAACAAGTATGTGTCCTAAAAAGAATGTCTCTCAAGATACATGGCATCAAATTTAAAAAAAAAGTTTTCATGAATACCTCAAAATGGCAAACTGAGACGAGAAGTCCAAAATGATGTTCAGAATAAAACATTCCCTAGCCAGAAAGTTGATTTGGTTAAAAATTTAACAAATTTTCTACATGACTTGAAGTTGTTTTAATTTTCCCAGTCGGAAACGATGTACAATAGGAAAAGATACCATGAGACATTAGAAGCTGCTTAATCCGAAAAAATGTATTTTAAAAAAATCGACGTACGTTTTTTGTCAATAGGTATTATTACCCGTGAGACTCCCGAGATGCCACAGGCATTCTTTTGGCCTTATTGCAATAAACGCACCATTGCCAAAATTCAGTAAAATCGGCACAAGAATCTAGAGATAATAATAATTAAAAAACATTTTTTTGACAGTCCGTATCTGTGAAACTAGACTTTTTAGGATGCACGTTTGTACAAACTTCGCTACTTACATTTGATTTAGGAATGTGCCCTTGTAATTAAGATCTACAACTGAGTAACACGCTGTACATTTTTTAATTTTTGTTGGAATTCCCGTCATATTCTATGATTTGATTTAAAAGAGGATGGAATCCATTTTAAAAAAGGAATTATAATTTGAATATTTCTAACAAAGACGGACCTAGAATTTCATTGATGTAGTGGTAGAGCTCTATGCATTTTCCTTTGGTATTAACATCGTTACTGCTACCCCAGATGACTAGACCATCTAAATAATAGCTGGACAGTACCGTGAAGATGCTAAAGATGTCTTCCTAGAAATAATCATCAATTACATCAACACTACCTAAATTAAAAGTAAAAGTTTTAGTTCAATGTGCTCATATGTACCCTTCCATCATAAACCTGATGTGTGGGCCATTTTGGGCTAACCATCTCAAGCAGAATATTTTCGTCAGTACAAGCATCTAATATTTTCGCTGGCCTCTCAGGTAACCTGTATAATTCACCTCGGAGTAGTTGAAAAACCGTCTACATCTACACTCACCTTTGATAGAAAATCTTTTGCATCATGATACTTATACCAGAAATAAGGCATGATATTTTTGTGTTTCTCGAGGTGTTTGACAATTCTTTTGGTTTCTTCAATCCTCCCTTCTACCATCTTCACCTTGTCCTTTATCGAATCCTTATTGCTTAAATACAGCGACGGATATAAATTGTCTTCCAAATTGAAAAGCCATTCTAAACTAGTGCAAAAAGAAATAAGAATTAGATTAGAAAAAAAGTATTTAACGTGTGAATGTGAGATTTATTTCAAAATCTCTGTTAGTTTGCCTGTAACATCTACGACATAGGTCAACCTAAAGTTGAATTAATTTTTTTGGAATGCATCTCATGGAAGATAGATACTTGCCCTTGTTTTTACACGTTTCTAAAATAAGTGTTAATTTTATGCGGTGAAGGTGATCCAAAAAATTTATTTGGGGGCCCAAAAATACATTACTAAATTCATTTGCATTTAATGTTTGCGGAGTAATCAGCGATCTGAGTACAAGGATGAAGGTCGAACTTTGAATCGCGAAGAGACCGATACGTGCATGGTTAGATACGTTACAAAGATTGCTTGAGTTTTGAATCGGCTACCTGCTTGAAAAACATTGATTCAACTCAAGTGAAAACTAATTTCGTATCACATACCTATCATTTTCAACAACTGCCTCCTTAGGACATGGACCCCGTCTGTTGCTTGGAGACATATTAAAACAATAAGGGTAAGCATAGTATCCCCAAGTAGCATATGGTCTCGTCAGTTTGGCAACGAGTAATGTTTCTTCCATGAACTGCTTAGCAGCTGCTTCGAATCTTTTTTTCGCTTCCTTTTGCAACCAGGCATTTGTCCATATCGGGTGCCTTCGCTTTTCTATATCAAAAGACAATACTTTGTATTCCGATAAGGCGCCAAAATTTTGTCGAAATACAGGTCGCCAACTTTCAAAATCGATAATACCTATTCCTGAAATTTAAAGATTATTTCAGAGTGAACAAAATTTATTCAGGATCCGTTACTCGTACGGAAGAAAAGAAATCTGAACTCTGTTGAACAAATTCTATAGCCGTCTAGAATAATACATTTTTGATAAACGAACTTTCAGCTAATATTGATTTTTGAGAACTTAATACATTGCTAATCACGAAACGCAAAATAAAGATGTCTCAAACCAAGGTTCACGTATAGTTTACGATATACTGAGAATTAAGAGTTGACACTCCGTATCTTGCAGCATAGTTCGGAAGGAGTCGACTTGTAAGAGCTACTTATTTTTATATATTGTCTCATCTTAAACAAGGCAGTTGACTGACCTATACAATCGTACAACTTAAAGCGTTAGTTCTGTCGTTACCTGAAAAACTTTCGTCAGGAATCAACTGCTGAACAAGTTTCTCGAAGATAATCAAGTGATCCGTCAGATTACCTTCTTGTGGTACTCCTCCATTCCTCAACACTGTCCTGGTACCATTTTTGAGGACAGCAGGAAAGTTACCAGGGTCGTACAATATATTGATTGCATTCCCGTGAAATCGATCGTCTTTGTTCATAATTATTTTATACTTCTCCGCCAAACCGGAAAAGTTCAGTTTGTGGTAGTCACATTGGAAAGTCGGTGTGTTCCAGTATACTTTTGTGAGTTTGGTTGAAGCCTCGTTGATAAGCGACGGTGGTCGAAATGGAAAGCCGAATTTTGGTCCGCTGGTGCTGACTGGTGGTATTTCGTTACTGTCACAAAAATATTACGTCAAGTAGGTTAGCTTTAGTATTGTTATGGTGATAATGCGATTATTTTGAAAAAATATTGATAGGGTCAACTAGAATGAGTCCATTTTCTACTCATTTAGCTTGCGATCAGACAGAATTGAAAATATTCATCAATACCAAATGCTTGCCAAAAATGACAACGTGTACAATAAGGCTTAAATTCTTTTCAATTTTTCAATTCATACTAAAAATTAATCAAATCGGCACATACCCGGATAGTGGGTCAGTTTTCAAAAATATGAACCAGGGTATTTCAAATTCGATCCTCACCATTGGAATCTCGGAAACTGTAAGAGATACGGAGTAGCTTAACGAGAGGCAAAGATGCATATGAAGATAATCAACAAAACGCCGCTTAGAAAGTTTCGGAATTCAGTGTACTTCCGGAGAGAGACAGAAAAAAACTGAATTTTCCAAAAATAGTTTTAATTTTTATTGATTTTATTTATAGTGGGGTTTCAAAATAAATGGCACATTAACGCTGCCACATTTTCTCCTCGACAAGATGGTATAATTAGAATTTCAATGTGACGTTTCGTCTCTTGTGCTCCAGCATCAACTTTATTTTTTCTTATAGACGCCATATTGGATTTTTGCACAGCTGAATAGAATTTTTACTTCAAATTTCAAAAATGTTTTACATTGACATTGCCAAACCTAAATTATTTCAAAAAAGTAGAATATCACAGGTAGGCCTAGAAATAATCAGATAGTCATTCGTTTTGCCTACCAGATTTATCCCAAAATCACTTTTCTTTCCTTACTTTGTTTGAGATGAGATTCCAAAATAAATTGCAAGTTAACATTGACACTTTTTCTCCTCTACAAAATGGCATAATTAGAATTTGATGTTGACGTCTCGTCTCTTGTCCTCCAGCATTATAACTTCATTTTTGTTATGGACGTCATATTGGGTTTTGACCATTGACATTGCCAAACTTTAGTAATTAAAAAAAACAAGTTTCTAGGTAGGCCTTGAAATTACCAGATTTCATTTGTTTTGAATACCAGACCAGGCCTCAAATTGAACGTAGCAACATATGGAACACTGATAAGAAGGAAAATAAATCGGACAGTGAACAATGTACAGAGAACAGTCAGGCTTTGCTTACAAAATAACGAACAGCATTTTGAACATCTGTTATGATTTACCTCTGCTTAATTGTGATTATTATTGTTAATACCATCAATAAAATCTTCTTTTTGCATTTTGTGTTCAGGTTTCACAATACCTTTTTATTTCTTTATAATTTTGATCAAACAACAAATTAATGGCCAACTAAGGAAACACATCACTGGATTTAGGACTGAAAAGTCCATTTAAATATACAAAATTCCAATATAGTATCCATATGGAAAGACAACGTTGGCGATGTAAGTCGAAAGAAGAAATAATGTCGAATTGAAAATATGACTACGCCATCTTGTACAGGAGAATAAGTAACAATGACAACATGCAATTTATTTTGAAATCTCGTCTCGAATAAAGTCAGAAAAAATAAGTGATTTTGTGATACATCTGGTATGCAAAATAAATGAGAATCTGATAATTTCAAGGCTTACCTAGGAAATTCCGCTGTTTTGAAATAACAAAGGTTTGGCAATGCGAATGCATGACTTGTTATACATTTTTGGAATAAAAATTAAAAAATCTATTCATCTGAGCAAAAATTCAATATGGCTTCCATAAGAAAAAATAGAGTTGATGCTGGAGAACAAGAGACGAAACGTTACATCGACATTCTAATTATATATTCTTGTAGAGGAGACCAAGTGGCAATGTTAATGTGCAATTTATTTTGAAATCCCACTACAAATAAAGTCAGGAACAAATTAATACGGTTTTGAGGAAATTCGGTTTTTCCCGTCTCTCTCCGGAAGTACTTTGAATTTCGAAACTTTCTAAGCGGCATTTTGTTGATTACCTGAATACGCTGCTTTGCCCCCAATTAAGCGACTTCGTATCTCTTACTGTTTCCGAGATCCCAATGGTGAGGGTCGAATTTGAAACACTGTAAGGTCAGAAAGTATTTAAAAAGATCCAAGAAAAATCTGCACCGATTTTTTGTGACGAAAAGGGGATACAATAGCATCTCTATTCTGTCGCTTATGCACGGAAATAAAGTACCTACCTATAATCAAGTTAACAAATCAACATACAACATATTTTCACAGTATCTTCGACAAACTGCCAGGTTAATAACTTTTTATCTCGAACACAACAAGAAACCACAATATTTCATTGAAAACAATTCAATGGTACTGTTTCGATATGAAAATCTAATGATAAAATATATTGAATGTATATGATTATACTAACCTGTTTTGATAATCTTCATACTCAAATGCTGGTGTCGCAACGGAAAGAATCGCGAAAAATTTTAGTAGCATTGTTTATACAAATATTATAGCTGTGTTTGAAGGTAATGAATGCGTAAGGATAAACTGCGAAATATTTACATTATCACCAGCGAACTATAGTCCCCTATGTAGGACGCCGTGCAGTTAAAAAAAATCCGTGGTATCCGCATATCGGGGATTTGCGGGTATCGTAATATGTAGTTGCTAATTTTTAAATAAGTGTATATGATGTATACATGAATTCATTATCGATTATGTACCTGTATACACGCGTCTGCGTGTGTTTTTTTATATACGTGTGTGATACCTCAACGTCCTTGACCTATTTATTTAATATATATAGATAATAGATTATTCTTTATTCTGGAGCTGCTACCAAGATATCACGTATCACCATATACGAGCCCCTTCCCACTTCAGTTGGCCCACTTCAAGATTTGTACCAAAATATGCCTTTATAAACTAAACATGACGAAACTATTTACTTCTAAAACAATTTATTTTCTCAAAACCATTTTAGATACACTCTAGTCGTAAAAAATACATATTTGCAATCACTTAGGCCTATAACTAATGGAACATCTGAACAAATAAACAATGTGCGAATAAATGCGCGAAGTTAACAAAGCAACAATTGAAAGATTACCATTGGGTAACATCACCTTTATTTTTTATTACGGCTGAAATTCTTTGGGGCATAGTGTTAACCAAGTTTTGGCAAAAATGTGGTGTAAAACAATCCCATATTTCTTGAAGCTTTTGCCTCAGTTCGGTGATTGTACGAGCAGGATGTTGTAGAACCTTTTTCATCTCGTGCCACAAAGTTTCAATAGGTGACATTTCAAAAGTGGTACATTATTTTCTTCCATCCATTTTATAGCCTTTTTTGAGGTATGGCACGCTGCACCATCTTGCTGAAACACAAAATCTTGGCCGGATGTCAAACATTCTTCCATCACTGGCAAAAGCGATTCATCTCAAATTGGCAAATATTTGTTTGTATCCACATTTCCATCAATAAAATGAATTTTTCCTACTCCTTTTGATGACATACTGCCCCAGACCATAATGGATGCTGGAAATTTCACTTTTCTCTTCAGACAGTCAACATGGAATACTTTGCGAATAACTCTACTGCGACAAACTTCGAATCGGGCCTCATCACTCCATTGTATTGCACACCATTGTTGAGGTGTCTATTGTCTATGTTCTTTAGCCCATCTAAGCCGATTTTTCTTTTGCAGTGGAGTTAATAGTGGCTTTACTTTGGCCTGTAAACAAGTTGTGCAACTTTAGGGTTTTTACTTCACTTTTTTTTATAAGAAAACTTACCTTGCAAGTGCTAAATCCCACTTTGTGGGCCTCTCTATGAGTTGTGGACCTCGAAATTCTCCTTCCAACAGCGTCACTCCACAGAGCACTTAATTGTACTCGTAAATAATTGGCACGCCTGTTTTTCACGATTATTCTTCTTAATGCTCTTCCGTCGGCATTTGTGATATTACTTTTTTTCACATATCGTGGCTTAATATTAACTGAACCAGTCACTTTATATCTTCTAACAATATTTCTCACACTGTACCGCGATAAGTCTAATAAAGTTGCAATTTCTGGGTTTGATTTCCCAGAATTAATTATCAGTAGCCGAATTTTCTCACTAATAACATTTCCTCCACCCATTTTGGATACCTTAACTACCCAAAACTATTTTAAACCTATTCTGACAGCTGTGATTAATAAAAACAATTGTCATGGCTTTTATTTTTCACAGCCAGCTATGCGTTATAGACTTATTTTGCATTGAAATGAAAATAGGTTGATATGCTGTAATTGCAACATGTGTTATTTTTATGCTGCAAATTTGATTAGGTCAATCTTCTTAAATCTAACATAACATCATCCCACATATTTGCATGTTCAGCCTTTAAAAATTCCAAGAAGGTCGCAGCATTTAACCTTGCAGGCAAAAGGTAGGGTCCAAATAGTCGATTACGGTAGATACCAATCCACACTAAATTCATGCTGAAAATTTCTTTCCCGAACTGCATGCGGAGTTTCATGCGACCAAATATGTTGATTATGAAAATTTACCACTCCACGTCTAGTGAAGCATGACTCATCGGTCCATAAAACGTTACTTAAAAACTCCCTATTATTATCAGTTCTATCAAGAATCCACTGACAAAATGGGATTCTTCGTTCTCCGTCCCCTGGCTGTAGTCCTTGCACAGGTTGCAAATGGTAAGGACGTCTATGGTCATTTCTAAGAACACGGTGAACATGGCTTGCTGAAATTCCCAAGGCACCAGAAACTCTCCTAACACTTGTGGTCGGATCTCTATCAAACTCACGCAGAATCATACGGGTAAATCTGCGCTGACGAACATTTATGTTTTGATCCCTTTGGAGATTTCCAAAACCATTTTCAATTATTTGGCGATGCACTCTTACAAATACTGAGCGAGTTGGATGTCGTCTGTTTGGAAATCTTCGTGCGTATTCTCTGGCTGCTTCTGCTGGGTTTCCATTTACAATGCCATACACAAAATGAATATCCGCTAACTCTTGATTGGAGAATAAAAATGGCATTTTTATAAAACTTACAAAAAAAAACAGGTAAAAGAAACTAAATGTCGTGCATGCACAATTGCAAAAAAACGTTTTAGGTTTCAACAAACCACAAAACTAACTGTCCACTAATTGACGTTTAACCTTATCCTGCTTTCAATTTCAAGAATATTTGCAGGCACAGCCTACTTCTAAAAATTATCGAGTTACTGAGTTTTTAACGTTATTTTATCATAAATACCTAATTAAAAATGCATCGAACCTTAAAAATCGAAATATCTCAAAAACGGCTAACTATAACGAAAACTCACAGGAGAGCTTTCTTATGTTGAAAAGTGCGAAGAATCAGTTTTTTTATTCAAAAAGCAAAAAATTGCACTAAGAAAACATTTTCGGTCATTTTAATACACTACAGGTACAGTAGAGAGCGCCCTCTAGTGGCTACAGTAAAACTATGCCCATGGTTCGTTTTGTTGTACCAAAAAACCCTTGTATACCAATTTTCACTGTTATACATCAAATATTGTTCGAAATATTTAAAAAAAAAACTATTTTAGAAAGTAAAGTAAAGTATTTCGGAAGTCACGCATTTTTCGACCCATGTTTATATAGACTTTATGCATTAATTTTAAAAGTTCTATCGAATCTTAAAGTTATGCAACAATAAACTGAAACACCCTGTATATTGACCGCTTAGAGTCCGTTTAAAGAAAGTTTTCAAAATGCCTCTCATACAAAGCTGACGGGATATATCCTGCTATTGGCTTTCCTCATAGTGAGTTGATAATGAGACACAAAATCTATAATTTAGAGAGCAGACGCAAAAAGAATTCACTTAAGTCCACTCACAAGCTCATCCATGGAATTATTGACTTCAGTGTCATCTTAGAACAACTCTTAGTTCCTAGATTAGCGTCTCGAACTAATTTAACTTTTTACTTAGCCAGGTCTAGGACTGACATACTTAAGTTTTCTCCTATCTATATAATGTGCCTTTTTCTGCGACTTTGGGAGACTTTAATACTTATTTTCGTTAATGCTTGCAGGCGTGATTGTTGAGTGCTGGGTGAGTAAAGCTACAACGCTTTTTTTCCTCGCAGTTCTGTTTTGAGGTTTTTTTTGCAGTTTTAGCTTTCTCTACATACATCTACTACATGCATTTGTTTATATTTTCATGTTTATCCATCCTGTAATTGGCTATGGCTGTTGGATGTAGCTAAATAAGTAAATTTAAGAAAAGCACTGTATATATATACAGGGTGTTCCATAATTATTGCGACAAAATGATAGGGGTTGTAGAAGGCATAAAAATATGCAATTTTGCCTTATAAACCCCTGTTCGTAAAATGCCGTTTGAGCACTACCGCTAATTTTACCTTAAGAGAAACAAAAAATTCAACAGCTGCAAAATGTTCGTCTAGCACATTTCATGGTCTCGCCGATTTGTAAAAAAAAGCCTGCTGTGTTTACATTTTTGTTATCGTAAATTCTCCACACCGATTCATTTAATTTATCTGAGTGGTGCGTCAAACTAGAGGCCAATCCGCGTACAAGCGTGCGTGCTATTGCACATGAAATGGGAGCGTCTCAAACTACTACTTGGCGGGTTCTCCATGACCAGCAGCTACACCCATACCACCTTTTAAAAGTCCAAGCCATGGGTCCAGAAAACTATCTGCCGCGTCGACGTTTTTGTCGTTGGTGGCTGCAGCAGGAGTTGAGGCAACCAAACTTTGGTCGCTACGTTTTGTTCATTGACGAGTCCTGTTTCACAAAGGAAGGTTATTTTAATAGCCGTAACAGTCACATTTGGGATGAAGAAAACCCTCATGCCATAGCCATCCATAGAGACCAACATAGTTTTCAATTAACATCTGGTGCGGCATTGTGGACGAGCATATCATCGGGCCATATTTGCTTCCACCACGTTTGGATGGGCATGCTTATGGTCGATTCTTACAGCATGTGCTACCGGAACTATTAGAAAATGTGCCACTGAACATAAGAGCCAACACGTGGTTTCAACACGATGGCGCTCCAGCCCACTTTTCTTTACAAGTGCGGCAGTATTTGGACGACAAATAGGTGGATCGGCCGAGGTGGCCCTGTGCCTTGGCCTGCGCGGTCACCCGACCTGACCCCACTGGATTATTTTCTCTGGGGCCATCTGAAAGCTTTAGTGTACGAAACTACTGTTCCCAACCAACAAGAGCTACTGGGAAGAGTGATGGCCGCATCCGCACATGTTCAGGACAAACCGGGGGTATGCCACAGAGTTCGCCGATCATTGAACAATCGTGCACAGCTGTGTATTGAGGAAGGTGGAGGACACTTTGAGCAATTACTGTAGGTAAGCTGTTTCAAGAAACTGATCTTTTTTTTGCTGCATCCCAAACGGCATATTTCCGAACAGGGGTTTATAAGGCAAAATTGTTCATTTTGATGCCCTCTACAACCCCTATCATTTTGTCGCAATAATTATGGAACACCCTGTATATATATATATATATAGCAAAGTCCATTGAAAGCTAGAGAGAATTAAAAAAGTATAAAGAGTCCTCTTTGCTTAAATTTTGTCGAAGTACTCAACAAAAGGCGGAAGCCTTAATTTTTCACCTAACTGGTCTAGACGACAATGACCACGTCTCAAGTTATATATATATTGCACTGAAGACCAAACA